GCTCTTCCAGAGGACTGGGTTCAATTCCCAGCACCCACATGGCAGCTCACAACTGTCTAACTTCAGGATCTGACACCCTCACACAGACATACATGCAGGCAAAACACCAATGCACATAAAATAAGAATAAATCAGTTTTAAAAAGAAATATAAATAAAAAGACATCAGGATAAGGGAGGAAAAAGAAATAAAAGACAATTGCAAAGAAGTTCAGAAACCTACACCAAGAAGTGGGGGGGGGGAGTTAAAAACTAGAGAAATGTGAGAGAGACACACCAAAGAAAAAGGCAAACAACACAGCACCAGCCAGCCAGCTCCAGGATGCAGGAAGGGCAGCAGAAACCTCATCCAATGGGTAAGCCTGGCAGCCTCGTGCAGACACCAGGTCCAGTTCACAAGTCATAACTGCTAATACACCTCAAGTCCAGTTGCAGAATTGCAGAGAGTGCTATCCCAGCCGAGATGGCCAGCAGTGGAAAGTTTTCTCAAAAGGAAACCTGTTGACTTAAAACTGAGCTATCCTATGGGCTGGAGCTGAGGAAACAATCTCAAGTAGGAGCGCATCAATACAATCTGCCACAGCTCCCGTGTGAGGCAGCTCAAGAAAGCTGGTGGTGGCTATGCTGGAGGCTGGCAAGTGGATAAAAGTAGAAACCATAGCAAGTCAATCCAGTTCAGCAAGGGAAGTGTCTAGGCCCCACCCTCCGTGCCTCAGACCTCATCAACTGAGAAAAACTCTGGAGATTGATAATCCAGAGTCTAGACATTCGCCATGGGGCAACTACTGGAGCCACCAACTGCTGTGGGGTTCACTGCTATAAAGTCCAGAGAACTCTGAAGCTGCAACAAGATCATGCGACATCTTTTGGGCCATCTCTCTAGGTAATGCTTAGTGGGTTTCAAAAGTACAAAGAAAAGTGTGTCCATCGGATCTCAGTACTGTAATTGCTTCTCTGTTTCCTTCTCCCCAGCGCCAACTGGGACGTTAGCTGTTTATTACCTGCATCCGACAATCTAGGAATTCTACAAGAGGTGGGAAACCCTGTCCAGACCACACACGCTGCAAAGCTATGTGTGACCAGCAGAGGCCACTAGTACATAAAGAAGGGAAGCCACTAAGGCGAAGCCTGTTGAAGTGGATGTTACTTATCCAGTATAGGCTCGACACCAGCATAAATCAATTGACTGTTTCCCAAACCCTGCCACCAACACACACTGTGGATCCAGAAAGACTCTATCCTAACACTTATTCTTTTTCCTTGTGTTTCCCTTGTGTGTGTTTTTAAACCATTCTCTAAGCAGCACCATTATCTTTTAAGATTTCTTTTTATTTCATGTATATGAGTGCTTGCCCAATTGTATGTATGTGCACATAGTGTCTGCTTGGTGCATCCAAGCACTAAAAGTATTTATAATCCCAGGAAATATGACCAGAGAATAACCTGTCTATAACATATCGTAGTCAGACACACACACAAAAAAATACAAAGCAAAAACTCAATATTAAAAGATGTAATGGAAAAATGGGTACAGAGAGAAATACATTCCTCATCAGCAACTCTAAAATCCAGGAGAGCATGACATTTTCTTTTCCCCCTCTCCTTTCATATTCTCCACCCCCCTCCCCGGGTGTGGGTGGATAGTGTGCTATGCCCCTATGTGTGTGTGGAGGGGGCGGGGGAGGGGGTGTAGGCAGTCAGAAGGATATCTTCCTCAGTTGCCTTCCACCTTATTTATTTGTTTAGTTTGAGACTATGTAGCCCTGGTTGGCCTTGAATTTACAGAGATCTGCCTGCTTCTACCTCCCTAGTGCTGGGATTGCAGAAGTGTACCACCACCTCTGCCTTTCACCTTATTTTTTGAGATAGGATCTCTCTGAACTTGGATCTCACTGTTTCCTCTAGACTAGATGGTCAACAAGCCCCTAGAATCTGACTGTCTCCCCATGCCAATCCCTCAAACACTGGCATTCCAGACATGCTTGGCTGTACCCAGCTGTTAAGTGGGTGCTTGGGATCCTAACTCAGGCCCTGCTACTTACACAGCAAGCATTTTACCCACTAAACAAGTCATTGCCGCAACCCCTGGATGAGGCTCTTACAAAAAGTTTTTGTTGATTTACCTGGTCGTAGGGGAAAGTGGGGTCAAAAGGTTTGATTAGGAAGTTAGCAGGTTTGCATGCTGATGAGAAAGATCCAATAGGAAGGGGAAGTTTGATTATCAAGAACGATGTTGTATGGACTTTTCCTAGGGAGACAACACACACACACACACACACACACACACACACACCATACCACACCACACCATACCACACCACACCACACCACACCACACCACACCAAAGTAATGATTGCACCAGAGTCCAACTTGGTGAACCAATGAGTTTTTCTTGGGATTGCTTAACAGGAGTGTGAGTGAGGGGCTACTTACACAGAGCAGTGATGTCACAAATGCACTGTACAACCAAAACAGCACCTCAAAACACAGGTGATTCCTAAAAGCTCCAACCATGGCACTCTCTACACAGCCTGAAGGTAGCTCAAGAGTCCAAACGTCTCAAGTCTCTGCAGTTTGGATGGTCAGAGGCTGTAGAGAGAGACGGGAGGACAAATAACACAAACACAAAGACAGAGGGCGGGGGAATAGTGGGGGTGAAAGTTCTCATAAGCTTCTGTTTTCTCAGCTAATGGGAGGGAGGCAACAGGAAGCTACTCAACAGTGTTGCAGAGGGAACACAAGCATCTCAAGAGCATTACAGACTGAGTGAACAGCAGTCTTGGCCCTGGCCTTGCGACTGATAACCACAGTCCCATAAAGTGGGGAGAGGTGGTTCCTAGGATGTGAAGCCACAGCTCCCCCAAGGGCCCCAGGCCATTACCAGCTCTGCCAATCTTGTTCCTGGTTTTAGACAAGGAACTATGGTTCCTTTTCCATACATCACGGCCTTGGGGGAAAACGTTTGGTCAGCCCTCAACACTCTTGCTTGGGGGTGAGGACCTAAGATGAGTGTGTCACATCTTACACCATACTTTAGGACAGCAGTTCTCAACCTGTGGGTCTCAACCCCTTTGGGGGTTGTGTATCAGATAGTCTACATATCTAATATTTACATCACCATCCATAACAATAGCAAAATTACAGTTGCGAAGTAGCAACAAAATAGTTGTATGGTTGGGGGTCACCACAACATGAAGAACTGTATTAAACTGTTACACTGTTAGGAAGGGTGAGAACCACTGTTGTAGGAGGTAATGATTTTTCAAAAACAATTACTGTTTCTGGACAGTTTTTATTGCCAGTCACTTTGGATGTAGATGAACTCCAACAAATTTCCTGAGGGCTCCTGTTAAGCCTGAACAGCAACACAAAAAGCAGGCTGTGTTAAGCTACCTGAGGATCAGGGGCTAGCACTCAGGTGGCAAAAGCATTCACATAATGTGCTCAAAGTCCTGACTGTGTCCAGTTCCCAGGACTGCATTTACAGAGCATGGAGGCACAGGGCTGTTATCTTAGCAATAGGGAGATGGAGGCAAGAGGATTAGGGGGTTCAAGGTCATCCTCTTCTACATATTGAGTTTGAAGTCAGTCTCACAAATCTGAGGTCAGACCAGCCAAGGATACACGAAACCCTGCCCTCACCATCCCCCTAAAAATATTGAGAAATCAGTACAATTTCTCTAGCTCTTCTGAAATTTGCATACAGTAATTGCTTCTGGCTCCTTAAAGCAAATGCAACGGTGTGGGAGGGAGGGGATCATACATTGGAAAACCTTCACATTTTAGACATTTTGGCACTTCAGAAATCACATGGCTAAAAAAACAGATAGGAGCACAATGCTAGTTAGGAATTGGGTTAAAGGGCATGAGGACTTAGCTCAGTGGTAGAACACTTACCTAATGATCATGAGACTCCAGGTCTGAGCTTTGGCTTAAAAGATGAAATTTCAATATCCTAGTTCAACTTAAGTAGTTGTTAGGGTCCAGGGAGTTCAACTTTGTTAAGCTCTGAGATACAAAAGGAAGAAGCAGGGCTCCTGTTTTCAAAATTTATGAAATTGGGTTTGGGATGACCAGGTTTACCCATGGCAGTGGAAACACCTCTATCTCCCTGCATTCAAATAATCATTCCTATATTCATTCCTGATCTGAACATTATATAGTCAAGCATTATTTCAACATTTGTAAATATTGTTGTAAATAAAGGAGAGAATTTTGTTTTACAAATAGTTTCCTATAACTACCCTAGGAGAAAGATGGTATTCTTTTCACAGATACAAAACTCAAAACTCATAGAGGTTAAGTTACTTGCTCAAGGTCACTCAGCTCAGAAGAGGAAGTTGGGAATTCAACCACTAACACTTTAAAGCCCCATATACCTGCCACCCTGACAGACGTAATTTGTTTTTTTTAATCTTACTGCGAAATCTTGATTGGTCTAAGATCACTGTGTAGACCATGCTGGCCTCTATTTCCAAGAGCTCTGCCTCTGCTGCCTAAGTTCATCAGAAGTCATTTCAGGAAGGGGAAGGGTCACTGACTATGCTGGTTCTGAGAAAACAGATGATCATGAATCAGCTTTTTGGGTGTTCCAGACAGGGTTTCTCTGTGGCTTTGGAGGCTATCCTGGAACTAGCTCTTGTAGACCAGGCTGGTCTTGAACTTACAGAGATCCCCCTGCCTCTGCCTCCTGAGTGCTGGGATTAAAGGCGTGTGCCACCACCTCCCTGCTATAAACCAGCTTTTTCATGTTTGCCAGGCCAGTTCACCATGGTCAAAGCTTGTGCATTCCCTGATGCCCAAGTAACATACAGAGTCCCTCTCTGTTCAGGAGCCCCAACTTCTCTGTGCCACAACAGGGGGCATTTTGCAAGGCTACATTGATAGAGAACATTTGTGTTAGCTGCTATGAGCTACAGGTGCATATTAATCCCATCAACTCAAGTTCAGGAGAGAGACTCACTCCAGGAGGATAAAAGAGTATAAAGGAGATGAGGATGTTGGTCACTTGTTGGCCCTTTCCTTCTCTGAGGAGCTGGTGTAGCTGTTCTGTGGGTACCAAGTGTAATGATTGTTGTAATTTAAGAAAAGCAGCTTTGAGTGAAAGATGCCATGAGACAGGGTTCAAGCAGAGAGTTCGGGTTTTTTTTTCTGGTTGTTGTTGTTTTTTTTCTTTTTAATTAGGGAAAGGGATCATAAAAAGGAGAAAGGGGAGACAGGCTTCCAGGAACAGGAGCAGCAGGAGGAGAAAAGGAGGGGGAGAGAGGAAGGAAGAGAGGGAGGAAGGGATGGGGGGAAGACAGAGGGGGGAGGGAGGAAGGGAGAGAGAGAGAGATGGAGGAACAGAGAGAGGTAGAGAAAGAAAGAAACAGAAGAATGGGAGGTGGGCAGGGCCCTTTTAAAAGGAAACATAGTGAATATGCACAGGTGGTGCTCTTAGTGACTACAGCTGAGGGCGTATCCTGTCAGAACCCCAAGGACAGGACAGTACAGATGTCTGAATGCTAACAATGATAGTGGGATTCTTTGTTTTGTTTTTAGCAATACCATGAACTGAAGTGTGGAAGTGGCTATACGTCAGCAGACCTGGGATACAGAGGTGAGTCCATTGTTTGTCCTCACAGGAACCAACCAGCCAGAATCCCAGGCTGTGGAGTGCAGGTCATTGAAATTCACGCTATAACAATGGCAGTGCCACCCCATGGGTCAGGTGCAGTGTACAGACTCTACTCCTTAAGGAGAGATATGGCAGAAAGGCAGGACCTGCAGATTGCTGGCCTCTGTTGCAGGGATAGCACCAATTCTGACATGGGACAGACCCAGGTTCGGGCCCTGGTTCGGCACCTCCTAGTGAAGCCTCCTAATCTCTCTCTTGCTTGGTTGCTCCGTTTGTCCTGTGGAGATCATAATTCAAGAGAAACGGTTGCTATCAAATAAGTGCATGTAAACGGTTGCCCTGTGGTGAATAGCACTGCCCCATGGGTAGGCTTCCAATACTTCCATTGCCAGCATCAACCCTCTGGTATCCAGACCCTGAGTATGTCAGAGTAAATGGCTTTAACTCTATGCCCTAGTTTTGTGTTAATCCTTTCTTGTCCCCTGGAAGGTGAGGGCTCCAGTAATAAAGGTTTACATGGACCAAAGAACTCTGCAAGAAAAATGCCCCCCCCTCCGCCCTGGAATGACAGCCAATAGATGAGAACATCGCAAGACAGGTCGCTGAGCAATCTGGAGAGACAAAGTTCTCTTCTTTGGACCTCCATTTCCTCTCCCTTACCATGGCCAGTTATGACTGTTTTGTTTCTTCACTTACTGGTTGGAACAACCACGTGTTTTGTTTCACGGGCCAATGAGACCCGGGCCTGTCCCTCAGCCAGTCCCAGGTTTGAGGAAATATCGGCTTCTTGATGGGGCCGTGGAGAGTGAAGTTTGAGGACATGGCAGTAAGAGCCCTCTCCAAAACTCACCAGGCTGGACCCAGCTGAGCACCCTGTCACCTGCATCCCATTCCTGCTTCCCAGGTGCAGTAAATCTAAATTCCTCCATTGCACTGAGGGAGGCTTGACACAGAAAAGCTGGATGGAAAAGATCTTCGATCTCCCCAACACTGACCTGGTCTCTGAGGTGAACAGGCGTAGAGCCGCCATGGCCACAAGGTACCAAAATCTTCACTGCTAGCTTGCTTGTGAGTTAGGAGGGAGAATGATGGCCGAGCCTCACCTAGTCCGACAGAGGCTGTAGGAAGTACAGATTGTTCAAGAAAATTTATTCATCCACTGCTCTTCTAGCTGCCTCTCATAGAAGAGGGAGACACTTAGCTACCCACTGTGCAGGTCAGGACTTTCTCACAGGTCCCTTCAAGAAGTAATGGTGCACTGTGTTTGGTGTGGGTGGTAGAGTGAACTTTGAATCACTGGATGCAGGGATTGTGTTTGTTTTAAAGTGTGTATGTGTGTGTGTGTGTCTGTCTGTCTCCATCCATCCTCTAAGAGTTCTGGGTATTGAACTGAGGTCGTCAGCCCTGTGTGTTGAGCCCTTTTCCCCACCGAGCCACTTGGTCTTTGATGGTGGGCCTAAACATCCTCATCTTCTCAGGGACTTTCTTTGGATGGTAGGTTAAGCACATAAAATATAGAAAACTCAGTTGAATTTGAGTTTTAAGTACTTTTGTCTTAGTTTGGTTTAAATATGTCTGTGTGGTATACTACAAATTGGCTGTACAAATAGAAGTTTAACCGGGTACCCTGTCGTGATCTGTTTGTTTGTTTGTTTGGTGTTTTTGTTTGGTTGTTTTGTCACAGGATTTTACTATGCAGCTCTGGCTGTACTGGAACTCACTACTTAGATCAGGTTGACTTCAAACTCACAGAGATCCACTTGCCTCTGCCTCCTGAGTGCTAGGATTAAAAGAAGGTGTATGGCACCACATCCAGCTCATCCTGCATCACTACAGTTTTGGCATGCCTGCGATGTCAACTTTGGGGATGACATCTCAGTGGAGAATGGCAGGACTCTACTGAAACTGCCACCTGGCTAGATGTAGTAGGCCTCACTTGGGGGCAAGTGCAGGTTCCTTTATAAAGCAAGGGGTAGGGAGATCCCTTCTGCTTTTGCAGATACTAACATGTAAGTTTGTTTACATGGCTTACATGTAAATTATCCTTAGAAGAGACAAGTGACCTAAAAATGAATCTTCAAAGAGACCTCAGGCTGAAATAATTCTGATATAGCAAATGCTAGTCAATTACAAGAAAACAGCCAAGCTGACACTTGTCCAACACTTCCAGTGTTCCCTCTTGGACAGTTATAAACCTGGATATCTTATTCTTGCTAAATCTTACAAGATATTAGACAAAGAAATGGGCATTACTGAGTTGGAAAATGGCCTTCCTTTTCCAGTATTGGTCTCAATGTGCTCATGAGCTTCCAGTTTATTGAGCAGTAAGGTATTTGTGAATTGATAGAAGGTTTGTGCTCTTTCTTGGTGTACACACATATGGTGTTGGGGACCTTTGCTGATAGAGGTACACAGGCGATTGACAGTCCTGGTTTAGATCACAGGGAAGATCATAAAGTCCACCTGAAAGAAGTGCATATAAAGCAATTCTGGGGCTGCCCAGAAGTGGTTCTCTTTGGTGCTGGCAACTGGGATCTGGCTTTCCTGCCCCCACCCTCTCCTTTAAAAACAAACATTGTATTTTACTCTTTGTCTCTCTGTCTCTGTCTCTGTCTCTCTCTATGTCTGTGTGTGTGTGTGTGTGTGTGTGTACACGTGTGTGCCCACAACATGACAATCATGTGGAGGTCAGAGGACAACTACTTTCAGGTGTCAGCTCTGTCCTACCATCATGGGGGCCTAAGGATTGAACTCGGGTCATCAGGTATGGTAGAAAGCACTGCTCCCCTCTGAGCTATCTCCCCAGGCCCTATCCTGCCTTTATTTGAATAATATGCTTTAATATGTTTTTCCTCCTAGAGATGAAACAATCACCAAGAAAAGTGGTGAAGGTTGGGAAACGCCCTCCATCGGGGGTGTGGAACAAGAGCCTACCAGAAAAACCCACCTCAGGGTGCCTCCTGCTCCCCCTCCTTCCCCAGCTGATGCTACAGACACAAGCAAGTACAAATTAAATCATTTGAAGATGGGTGTGTGCACAGATGCCAACACCAGAGCTCGTTCGGGTTCTCTTGAGCTTGCCTAGACTGTCCTAGACATCTTTGTCTTCCCCTCTTATGCGCTAGAGCTGCTGTGAATGTTGCTTGTCCTTGTGTGTTAGTTGTTTTCTTTCCTCATTGCTGACAGAGTATCCGACAGAACCCTGAAGGAAGGACAGGAGGGTTTATCTGGTGATAAAGTGTAGCATGGCAGGAAAGCGATGGCAGAGGGTGGCTTCACAGTGCAGAAGTGTGGGACAGCTGCTTGTTCACCTCAGCAGAAAAAGCAGGCAGGCAGGAAAGCAGGGTCAGGCTGAACCTCATGAGGGGCCTGTCCCCAATGTCACTTCCTCCAGGTAAGTTCTATCCCCAGAAGACCCTACAGCCTCAGTAATGTTGCCATCTGGAAGTCAAGTGTTCAGACAACAAGTCCATGGGGGACAGTTCATATTTAGCTAGCACTCCATTAATGCATAGTAACTTAAGTTTTCAAGCCAAGTCTCTGAGATGTATGTGTTTGGTTTGATTCTTTGATTTGGGCTATGCTAGCTAGTTTTCAGCTGTACTTGAGGTTATTATTACTATTACTATTACTATTATTATTATTGGGTCTTGTCTATAATAAAATCTGAACCAGTCGAAAGTCCAGGCCTCCATGACAGTAACTCTAAAGGTCTAGGGTCTGGGGATTGGAGAGATGACTTGGTGGTTAACAGCACTTGCTGATCTTCCAGAGGACCTGAGTTCAGCTCTTCAAGGTTCACAACTGACTGTAACTCTAATTGTAGGATATATTTTGTTTAAAAACTACCAAGAACATGCTATTTGAGTCAGGCGGTGTTCTAGTGTTATTATGTGGGACGATCAGCCTCTGTATCAATGGAGGAAAAGACTGGCAACCTACAAACATTCTATCATATACCTGGAGGATTAAAAAAGAGAAAAATATATATGTGCCTTAGGAAGCAGTAGACTGGTTGCAGTTTTAAGTAGTGTTAATGAGCATTCCTCTTTAGAAAGGTGACATTTGAGTAAATATTTAATCCAGTGACAAAGTTAAGTGTGTGACTGTCGAAGGCAGAGTGAAGAGCTGCTCTGAGTTTAAAGACAAAAGCATCCATGGCACATTTGAAGGACAACAAGCAGGCCACTTGGGCTTGGCTGGCATCAAGACATTAGTAGAAGATAAAGTCACCCAGGAAAAGGTGAAAGAAGAATTGGAAATGAAAGAGAAAGTGGGTTGAGAGAGGAGGAAGAGGTCAGAGAGGAAGAGGTGAGAGGGGAGGAGAGAAGGGAGGTGAAAGGGGAGGAGGAGGAGAGAGAGGAGGTGGGAGGGGAGGAGGAGGAGAGAAGGGAGGTGAAAGGGGAGGAGGAGAGAGAGGAGGTGGGAGGGGAGGAGGAGGAGGAGGAGGTGAGTCCCAGAAGGCTGTGACTTTGAGCTAGATGGGAATTAATAAGGGTTTTCAGAAAAAGAGGGTCATCTGGCTTGCATGCTATGGAATCGTTCTAGTGGTTTTATGGTTGAGGGGAGTAGGAGCAGTCCAGTGGCTGTCCTAGTAGCTTAGGAATGAGGCAGTCCCTTGAAAAAGTACCACTTGAGGTGAAGAGAAGTGTGGTCAGATTCTGGACCTGCATGTCTGAAGAAAGTGCCTACAAAAGATGCTGATTGATTGATTGGATAGATTATATGAAATATGGATAAAGGATGATTCCAAAATGTGAGTCCTTGGGCCAGTATGATGGCTCAGTAGATAAAGGCTCTCACCATCAAACTTTATGATCTGAATTCAATCCTGCATGTCTACATGGTGGAAGGTGACAACCAGTTCTCGCATGTTGTTTTCTGACCTCCACGTGAGTGCCATGGCATGTGCATCTACCCATACAAGTAAATAAATGTAGAAAAACATTAGAACAAGATTCTAGCAATGGGAAGGATAAAAATTCCACCAGCAAGAGACGCAGGTTGGTGTGAAGAGGCAACCTAGGAACTCCATCCCTGCTGGTAAACGCCCAGATGGAGATATCCAGTAAGCAAAGGGACATGCAAATTTGGTATTGGAGAATAGTTACTGCAGTCAAGATGATACTCTGGATGTCATCAGCATGGAGATAGTATTTAAAGCCCCAATTTTGGTTGTCAGAGACCCCCAAGACTGCTGGAGAGATGAATAGCCATGGACCTGGAGCATCTTCATATGCAAAGGTTAAAGGGAGAAAGCAGTAGAACAAAGAAACCGGAAGTGACAGCAAACATAAAAACAACAGGTAAAGAAGCAGTCAGCAACAAAAGAGAGCAACACCCTGGAAACTGAGAAAAGAATGGTTCCTGCTCTCCACCCCCTCCTTCCTCTGCTCTCTTCTTTCCCAAAGCGAGGGTACAGCTTATAGAGGGAAAGGAGGAGCCTGGACAGGGTAGGGTGGGGCTGGCCGGATTGCCTCATCCTTCTGTGTGCGATGAGAAGTCACATCACAATCTCTCATGACACAAAGACACTTCTCATCTCCTACTCATTCAGACACCTGGCAATTCATTGACTGAAAGAGTTCATGCATTCTGACTTTGGGGTCTTTGGGTCAGTGTGTGTGTGTGTGTGTGTGTGTGTGTGTGTGTGTGTGTGTGTGTGTGTTTGGGGGGTTAAAACCCGGTTGTTAGGGCCTGAATTATATTCCTCCACCCAAGTCCTATTTTGAAATCGTAATACAAACTGAAAAGTCCTGAATTTGAAATGCTCCAAAATCCAAAAGTTTAAGGGCACTTATGATGCCCAAAGTGGGAAATTCTTCACCTATCTTTATGTGATGGGTCAAATAAAACAAGGTCACCCTAAAAATTACCTTCTGAAAATATCCATGCAATGTACAAAAAGCTTATGCAGGTAGCTGAATCAGAGGAGCTATGTTCATCAGGCCCCCAGGAGAAATAGTCCATCCCCAGCAAGGACAGCAGAAGAGCAAGGGGAACCTGTGTTCCCATGCTTTAGACCCACTCCTGAAATGCCCCATAACCCCGGGGAGATGTAAAAGTCTTCCTCTCCTTTTCTGTCTTCCAAACAACATGTCTGAGAGATCTGAACACCAGACTGTGTAGGCCAGTAGATGTGGAAACAGCACTGAAAATATGAGCATTAGTAACTAATGCTGGATATCCATCTGACTTCTCCCTCGTAGTGAAAGCAGGTCCATCTTAAACACAGATGCACCTCAGCAAGAGCCGGGGTGATGAAAAGCTTGGATTGACTGATGCACCAGTGGGACAAAGTCCAAGCTGAATTGGCAAGATAAAATACGCTACCTCTATTACACCACATAGAAAGAAATTAACTTCAGCTACTAAAAGGCAGAGCTCTGGGATGATAGCACAGTCTGTTAAGTGTTTATCTTTCAAGCACAAAGACTGAGTTCAACCCCGCAAAGCCAAGTGGAAATTTAAATGACTGAGGATGGTGGTGAGTACTCATAATCCCAGAATGGGGGGGGGGTAGACAAGAGTTCTGGAGCTCACTGGCTCAACTTACTTGGCAAGTACCAGGCTAGTAAAAGTCTGTCGTGCGCATACACACACACACACACACACACACACACACACACACACACACACACACACACACACACACACAGAAAAAGTAGATGGTACTGAAGAATGATGTCCCAGGTAGTCAGCTGATTTTCACACACCTCTGTGGACACACAAGCACATGCATGCACAATGCATACTCAACTACACACACAGGAAGCGATGCTGTAGGCACTGCAGGGAGGAAGAGTTATTTATGGGTGGGACAGCTTTAGTTTTTACAAGATGGAAAGAGTTCTGCATATGGTAGTGGTGTTAGCACAAAACCATATAATGACCTGTTATGTACATGGGTTACTCAGCTGGTTAAAAGCTCTTGCCACCAAGCCAGGCTACTTAAGATTCAACCCCAGGCCCCAAACAGTGTATAGAGGAGTTCAACTCTGTTAAATTGGCCTCTGACCACACACACTCCATAGCATGTGTGGTAATATTTAAATGGTTACAATGGTAACTTTTATTATATATATTTTATCATATTTTTTTATTGGAAGAAAAGCTCTGTAAGGTTTGCTCACCTGAGAGTCATGACTTAAGAATCTGGTACCTATCTGGCCATGGTGGTGCATACCTTTAATCCCAGCACACAGGAAGCAGAGGCAGGTGGATCTCTGAGTTCCAGGCCAGCTGGTTTGCAAATCAAGTTCTGAGAGAGTCAGGGCTATTACACAGAGAAACCCTGTCTTGAAAAACAAAGTAACAAAAAAATTGTGTGTGGGGGCACCTGGAGAGATGGCTCAGTAGTTAAGAGCACTGGCTGCTATTCCAGAAGACCCAGGTTCAATTCCCAGCACCTACTTGGCAGCTCACAACTGCCTGTAACTCCAGTTAGAGGGGATCTAACACCTTCACATAAATGCACATACAATAAGTTAAATAGATTTTTTTAAAGAGAGAATTTTGAAACATCTGGTACTGGACAAGGAATGGTGGCACATGCCTTTAAATTCCAGCACTGGGGAGATAGAAACAGAGTGAGTTCCAGGACAGCAAAGGATATGTGGAGAGACTCTACCTCCAAAAGGAACATATTCAGTATCTGTAACAACAGATAAAAGCTTAAATGAATCTAGAAAAGAGGGCAGGCTGAAGGAGCGATGCCAAGGTTGTTCAGGAGAGGCGATAACACAATCAGATAGAGGTGGGAAGGTGTGCATTCTGCTGTTGACCTATTGCCATCCTGAACAAAATAGGAAAAAGTAGGCTCAAGCCTCTGACAGACAGACACACTTATTATAATGACTTGCAATCATACCTTCCAACCCAGAGGCATTGTCTGACAACTGCAATCTGTGCTTTCAAGCAAAGATTTCCACAGATCTCAAGAACAGTAATGTATGAGACGACTTTATTTCACAGGGCAAAGGGTTAAATACTG